GACTCTAATACAGAGTAGTCGCCCAAAAACTCTATTGTAGAGTAGGCAAGAGAATCTCTAGAACAGAGTAAGCTGAGGTCGAAAGAGGACACAAGCTGCAGTCAGTAGTATAGTTGTCGAGGAAGATGGCCGGAGCTAACAAGAGAAAACGGAGGAGGTTAACAAGTCTCTCCCGGACCTAGACGGTACTCCACTGAGAAGACCCACCGCCATAAGAGTACACCAGTACCTCCCTACCATTTCCAAAGAAAAACAGAGGGGAGTTGGGCTTGAAAGAGCCGTCACCGGAGCTCCGGGCACTCGCTGAATCTCTAATCCAGGCAAATAAAGTTTGGTAAAGGTGGTAGATGAAAAGGTGATTTTGAAATTGTTACCCAAACCAGTAATAAATTATTGGTTAACTCTGACCAGAACAATCTCGAGAATAGTGTCTGAGAGAGAAAAAAAAAGGCTTTTGGGCCCATTACTTGTATGATAAATCTTATTACTTACATTATCTGCAACTATTATTATAAACTCGTTAACCATCTTTGGCCAACTACAATAAAAAGTTCACATACATCATTATCTCCAAGACCCATTTGGGCACAAACTTAACTAAAGAATTTTGGATTCAACATTTGTTATCTTTCCACAATCATATATTTCCTCCAACAGAGATTCAAACCAAACATGTTACAGACATTAACAAAGACAGGGATAGAGAGAGAACCGCGAGTCGGATTTAATCTTGAAGGAAGAGGAACTGAGCTCGAGGAGAAACACGCGGGAACCTAAGCAATTCGACAACCATATCCATTTTCGCATCTTTATCTGATAAACTCGATGTTACAGTGACTGTCTCCAGAACTGGAGAAGTTCCCAACAAGAATCTGATAAACTCCAACTCGTTTCTGATGCCAGAAACGTCTGTCATCTTCACGGTTTCAAGTCTCGGGAGTTTGTAGTCGAAGTAATCTCTTTCGAAAAGGTCGAAACCTTCTTCTTCAAGAGGAAATAGTTGGATTGGTGAAGCCTAAAAAAATCCAATTACAGAAGATGATGATGAACTGGAGAATAGCAATTGAAATTTTCACATTACGAAACTTTGAAAAAGAGAGAGTGAACATACCGAAACTTTGAGGTCTTTAAGGTTTGGAGAGTGAGTGACCAAACGAAGAAGAACTAGTACCTCATTGGTATCTTCAAAACTTACTTGGTAAAGTTCTATAGTTTTAAGATGAATGTAAGTAATCGGAAGCCTTCCCGGGTCATCTCCTATGCTCAAGTACTGAAATCATAGAAAAGAGATTTATAACTTTTTCGTTAACGGTAATGTCATAAAAGTATTAGGATGAATCGAAGTTACCTTTGTGAAGTAGATAAAACCGACGAGCTTCTCAAGAAGGGGCACACCACCAAGGAACTTAACGAGATTATAATCTGAACTTTGCTCAAAATCAGTAACATCCTCATGCATGTACATTGAAACCGATATCGCAACTAGCTTTGGCGTATTCTCGAGGATAATGTCTTTGAATTCACCGTCTAGATACAAGTGCAAGAGATTCGGAGCCGATATACTCAGAACTAAACTATCAAAGTAAGACAATGACAGGAACTCGAGAAGCGGGCATCCCGAGATCAGACTCTCAATCACCTCAGGAGCAACAAGAATTTGGTGAAGGTTAAGACTCTTCAAAGACGAAAACCCTTTGAAATACCGAGGCGGGTCAAACTCACAATGGCATAACTCCAAACGAGTCAGTTTCAAACAGTTGAAAAGACACGAAGGAACCCTGAATTCGCCTTCTCCTAACTCGAGAACAAGCTCTTTAATCCCGTTCCTCGAAAGGAAAAGCAACCACTGATCAATATCCGGACGACATTGCAAGAAAGAAGTGGAGAGCTGAAACTTATGGATAGGTCCTTGGTGAAGGAGAAGCACACCGGTTATGAACCTCACAAGACTGTTCTCAACTAGGTTACGATCATTCGAAGAAGCAACACATTTCTCATCAAACACAAGATCAGTGATTGTTGACCATTTATATTTCCATTTGCTAGATAAAACGCTTGTTCTTATCGCATCTCTAATCGAAAGCCGAGTAAGGATATTCTCAATTATGCTCTGAGGTAGATCGCTAATGAAATCCGAAGATTCACCCATCTAACACATACATACAAACAAATTATGAGGAAGATTTTGCATGTTTGAAACTGTGAATATCAAAAAGCAACGATTTTGATCTCAACAAATTCAAAAAAACCCTCTCAAAACCTTAAAACCCCATCCTTTATTTGATCTACGAAACAGAGATTGATTGCAATGCAACGAATCAATGACCCCAAAATCGGTTAACCCAGAAGGAAAAATCTCACCTTTCGTCTCGAGCGCCGGTTGGGATGAAAGTCGTTAGAAGACCGGCTTGATCGGTGGATACCAAAAGATCGCAGATTTTGCTCTCATCATCATTTTACACTTTTTACTTGGATTTTGTTCTGTCTTACTTTTTTTAGCGATTTAAGATTGCGTTTCGCCAAACACGATTTTTTTTTAATATCGCGTCGAGATCCGCGCGTTTACGTTACACAAGTCTTCTTACCATGAAGATTACAGATAATTGGCATGAAGCCAAGAATGAGTAAAACACATGAATCTAACTGATAGATTATGAATGATGTAACTGTTATTAAATTGACCCAAGAAATGACTACAATACAATACACAATTGACAGAAAAAAGATCTTGAATTTGTTCATACTACAATTTTCGGGTAGCGAATAACCGACTTCCAAATCTTTAGAACGCGAAAATTCTTAATCCAATTCTGTCCATGAGTTTGGTCCAAATGTTGGAGAGTGAAGACTCAAACATCCACTCTTCCAGTAGTGATCAGAATCTGATTATGTTAAAGAGAATACGCCGTGCTTTTACCTTATATATTAACCGGCCTTTGTGATCAATCAATCTTCGTGCTCATCTTCGCCTTCAGAATCTGCAAACAGAAAGACACAACAACCTTGAAGATCTCTTCTTGATTTGGATGGTGCGGAAAAAAAATCCTTGTTTTATAATTATATAAACCAAACTTACCGGATCTGACATCTTCGCTAAGCTTGCCTCTATCTTGTATTTGTTTCACAAGCATCCGATACATCAAAACCCACCAATAAATGTGAAGAACAAGCAAGCAATAGAGGAGAGTGTTGAACATGAAGTAGTAAACTGGTCCTTCGAATGGGTGCTTGTCCTTGTCCAGTTCCAAAAGTACTTCATAGCTGCAACAAAAATGCATATATAAAAGGCCAAACATCTTTTTTTTTTTTAAAGGAATATCAATATACACAAACCTTGTGCTCCATAGGATCCAAAAGGGATAGTAAATGAGGCGGAGAATGATCCAAGACAAAACGAAAAGAATGAATGAGAAGCTAGCGATTCCTTCAGCACCACTATATTTAGACATTTTCCCGACTTCAAGAAACACATCACTCGCATCGTGAAGTGCCAGAACAACAGAACCAACACGAGAGAAGCTATCTCGGT